TGAAGATCTTTTCCCATTCTGTAGGCTGTCGTTTTGTCTTGTTGACCTTGTCCTTTGCTATATAGAAGCTTTTCAGTTTCAGGAGGTCCCACTTATTGTTTCTCTCAGTGTCTGTGCTGCTGGTGTTCTATTTAGGAAGTGGTTCCCTGTGCCAATGTGTTCAAGTCTACTTTCCACTTTCTCTTCTATAAGGTTCAGCGTGGCTGGCTTTATGTTGAGGTCTTTGATCCCTCTGGACTTGAGTTTTGTGCATGGTGATAGATATGGGTCTGTTTTCATTCTTCTACATGTTGATATCCAGTTATGCCAGCACCACTTGTTAAATATGCTTTCTTTTTTTCCATTTGATATTTGTTGCTTCTTTGTCAAAGATCAGGTGTTCGAAGATGTGTGGATTGATATCTGGGTCTTCTATTCGGTTCCATTGGTCCTCCTGTCTGTTCTTATGCCAGTACCAGCTATTTTCAGTACTGTAGCTCAGTAGTAGAGTTTGAAGTCAAGGATTGTGATGCCTCCAGAAGTTCTTTTATTGTACAGGATTGTTTTTGGCTATCCTGGGTTTTTTGCTTCTCCAAATGAAGTTGAGTACTGTTCTTTTGAGGTCTTTGAAGAATTTTGCTGGGATTCTGATAGGCATTGTGTTGACTCTGTAGATTGCTTTTAGTAGGACTGCCATTTTTACTATATTAATTCTGCCTACCCAAGACCATGGGAGGTCTTTCCACTTTCTGGTGTCTTCTTCAATTTCTTTCTTCAAAGATTTAAAGTTCTCGTCATACAAGCTTTCCATTTGTTTGGTTAGAGTTTGTCCGAGATATTTTATGCTAGTGGCTATTGTGAAGGATGTTGAATTCTCTGATTTCTTCCCCAGACCATTTATCATCTGTATACAGGAGGACTACTGATTTTTTTGAGTTAATCTTGTATTCTGCTACATTACTGAAAGTGTTTATGAATTGTAGAAGAAGTTCCTTGGTAGAATTTTTGGGATCACTTATGTAAACTATCATATCAGCAAACAGTGAGAGTTTTACTCCTTCTTTTCCAGTTTGTAGTCCCTTGATCTCCCTTTGGTGTCTTATTGCTCTAACTAGGACCTCAAGAACTATATTGAATAGATATGGAAAGAGGGGACAGTCTTGTCTTGTTCCTGATTTCAGTGGAATTGCTGGGAGTTTCTCTCCATTTAGTTTGATGTTGGCTGTTGGCTTGCTGTATATTGCCTTAATTATGTTTAGATATGTTCCTTATATCCCTGCCCTCTCCAAAACCTTTATCATGAAGGGATGTTGTATTTTGTAAAATGCTTTTTCGGCATTTTTTAAAAATTTTTTTTAAATTTATTTATATTTTATGTATGAGTGCTATGCAGGTACACCTGCATGCCAGAAGTGGACGTCAGATCCTGTAAGACTTTAAGACAATCCTGAAGCCATTTTTGACAATTCTGAATCCTCTCAGCCTCTGTGCCATAGTGCTTCCCCTCCTCCCCTGGGAACCAAGGACCTAACAGCTACACTCGCACGTACTCAGTCCCATATACGTATGCTTTGGTTCTGTCCCCTGGGAAACGAGGTCAAAATGACCTCTTACCTCATCTGATCTGGCAACAGCTCTCCAGTCAATTATTGATAATAGCCCTTTCAAATAAGCCAATCAGAATAGTCAAAGAACAACCCCCCTTGCTTCTGTAGCCCCTTTAAAAGTAGACTGTACTCGCTATTCGAGGTCCCTTGGTTTCCCGAATGCTGGGGGACCCTGTCATGACAGAATTAATAAAATCCTCATGCTTTTGCATCGGCTGTAGTGTGTGAGATGGTCTCTGGAAGCGACTCCTTCTCGGTGTTTGGACGCCAGAGTCCAACAATCCCATTATAGATGGTTGTGAGCCACCATGTGGATGCTGGGAATTGAACTCAGGACCACTGAAAAAGCTAGTGCTCTATAAACACTGAGCCATCTCTCCAGTCCCTTTTTCGGCATCTAATGAGATGATCGTGTGGTTTTTATTTTTCAGCTTGTTTATATGTTAGATTATGTTGACAGATTTTCATATGTTGAACCATCCCTGCATCTGTGGGATGAAGCCGACTTGGTCATGGTGGATAATGGCTCTGATGTGTTCTTGGATTCAATTCGCTAGCATTTTATTTAGTATTTTTGCATCAATGTTCATGAGTGAGATTGGTCTGTAGTTCTCTTTCTTAGTATTGTCTGTCTGTGGTTTGGGTATCAGGATAATTGTAGCCTCATAAAAAGAGTTTGGCAATGTTCCCTCTGTTTTCATTGTGTGGAATAATTTGAGGAGTATTGGTATTAGTTCTTTGAAAGTCTTGTAGAATTCTGAGCTGAAACCATCTGGTCCTGGGCTTTTTTTGGTTGGGAGACTTTTGATGACTGTTTCTATTTCTTCAGCAGTTATAGGTCTGTTTAATTTGCTTATCTGGTCTTGATTTAATTTTGGTAAGTGATATTTATCTAGAAAGTTGTCCATTTCCTTTAAGTTTTCCAATTTTGTGGAGTACAGGTTTTCAAAATATGACCTGATGATCCTCTGTATTTCCTCCGTGTCTGTTGTTATGTCCCCCTTTTCATTTCTGATTTTGTTAATTTGGATGTTCTCTCTGCCTCTTGGTTAGTTTGGATAAAGGTTTGTCTATTTTGTTGATTTCCTCGAAGAACCAACTCTTTCATTGAATCTTTGTATTGTTTCCTTTGTTTCTATTTTGTTGATTTTAGCTCTCAATTTGATTATTTCCTGCCATCTAGTTCTCTTAGGTGAGTTTGCTTCTTTTTATTCTAAGGTTTTCAAATGTTCTATTAATTCACTAGTGTGGGATTTTTCCAGCTTCTTTATGTAGGCATTTAGAGCTATGAACTTGCCTCTTAACACTGTTTTCATTGTGGACACAAAATTTACAGAGTCACACTTACTTTCAGCATCAGGCTGAACATACCTAAGTAACCAAATCAATTATTTCTGTCACAATGAATAGTAAGAATACTTTGACCTTTGCCTCACTTACTATTTTTCCATGGCAGAACATAGGGCAGAGACTTGGGAACTCGCATGCCTGAGGCCAGGTTACTCTTATGTTCCATAACTATATTGTTTGCAGGACTAAAAAAAGAAAGGAATAATCTGATGTCATCATATCAATATTCTTCAGGTACACACACAAGACAATCAAAATGTGTGCATGCATGTGAGTTTTTGTTTGCTTTTTTGAAACAGGGTTTCTCTGTGTAGCTTTGGGACCTGTCCTGGAACTTGCTCTATAGACTAGAACGACCTTGAACTCACAGAGATCTGCCTGCCTTTTCCTCCTGAGTACTGGGATTAGAGGTGTGTGCCCAACTTCAAAATGTGTTTTTAAGTGGGGGAAAACATGTAAGCATAGTTCTTTCAAAACATTCTTGCACTTTGGATGATTACCATTTTTCTGGAATGTTTCTTATTCCATATGTGCATTAAGATGAATTTAACTGTTTAGTGGTGCACACCTTTATTCCCAGTACTCGGGAGGCAGAGGTAGGCAGATCTCTGAGCTGGATGTCAGCCTGGTTTACAGACTGAGTTCCAGGACAGCCAGGGCTACATGAAGAATATCTATCTCGAAAAGCAAAACAAAAGAATAACAAAAGATGGAGTTAACTGTTTACATCTTAGAAAAATTGAGATTAACACCTATAACACCTACTGGTTAGTACCCCTGTAAACAAGACAGCTGTGTCTATTCATGGTTGGAACTGTCTAAAGACCAGGCTTCCATCAAATTCGCAGTGATTTGTTGGCCTTTGCCTCCTGAGTATGAGCGCTGGGATGAAAGCTGTTCCCCACCATGCTCGGTTGCAACAGACCTCTTCATAAATTATTACTTTTATGTGTATGAGTGTTTTATCTACATGTATGCCCATGCATCACTTGTGTGCCTAGTGCCTATAGAGGGCAGTAGAGGCTGTTGGATTCCTTGGCAGGCGGAGTTACAGAGAGTTGGAAGCCAGTATGTTGGTTATGGGAATTGAACCTCCTCTGTTGATGGAAGCTACTTGTTCATTCCCAGCCACCCAGATTCAAATATCCACACAGAAACTGTATTAATTAAATCACTGCTTGGCCTTATTGCTCTAGCTTCTTAGCTCTTACATCTTTTTTTTTAAATATTTATTTATTTGTTATGTATACAATATTCTGTCTGTGTGTATGTCTCCAGGCCAGAAGAGGGCACCAGACTTCATTACAGATGGTTGTGATCCACCATGTGGTTGCTGGGAATTGAACTCAGGACCTTTGGAAGAGCAGGCAATGCTCTTAACCACTGAGCCATCTCTCCAGCCCTAGCTCTTACATCTTAAGTTAATCCATTTCTATTAATCTGTATATCACCATGTTGCTGTGGTTCTGGCAGGCTGTGTCAGAGGCCTCTGTCTCCTGCAGGTGGCTACATGGCTTCTCTCTGACTCCACCTACTCTCTCTATCTTTCAGCCTGGTTTTACTCTGTTAAGCCATTGGTCAAAAGCAGCTTCTTTATTAACCAATGGCAATAAAACATATTTACAGCATACATCACCTCCCACATCTGTCCTGTGGAAAAGCAGTCAGTTCTCTTAACTACTGAGCCATCTCTCTAACTCCTATAATAAATCTCTTAAGAACTGAAATAAGTTAAAGCTGCCACCAATAAAACTAATCTAACTTTTTGTTATTGACTCAAAATAGTATACATTTATTAACTGACCTCAGTAATTAAGAAATAAAAAAAAAATGAAGTGCTTTCTGAGGGATGGAGAGATGGCTCAGCAGTTAACAGAGGACCTGAGTTTGATTCCAAGCATCCACATTAGGCAGCCAGGGGATCTGACACCTCTGGCCTCTATGGGCACCTAAACTCATATGCACATAATCACATACACATAATTAAAAACAATAAAAATAAAATAAAAAGTTAAGCATTTAGGGAAAATAGAGTATAGAATTTATTCCTTTATTTTCTGAGCCATCTCTCCAGCCCCGAGATATGCCGTCTTCCTTAGATACTTTGGATTTCCCAATCTCAAACAACTTTCAGGATTTCAAAAAATAGTTATGGGCTAAGCAGAGATGGCTCAGTGGTTAAGAGCACTGGCTGTTCTTCCAGAGGTCCTGAGTTCAATTCCCTGCATACAAACAGTGGTTCATAACCACCTATAATTCAATTTGATCCCCTCCTCTGGCATGCAGGAATATATGTGGATGACAGAAGAGTTTATGTATACGACCCTTAAATACTGTTGTGTGTACATGTGTGTGGGTGCCTAGAAGAGGGTGTGGACTCCATGGAGCTGGAGTTACAAGCAGTTGTACGCTTGGCTAATGTGGGTGTGGAACTTCATTCCAGTCCTTTAAAGAGCAACAAGTGCACACACACACACACACACACATTAACACGCACATCCACACACACACTCTCACGTACTCACCCCTGAAAACCTCTTCTGGTTTCACAAACCCTCTCTCTCAAAACAACAAGAAAAGAAAAACCCTCACCAAACAATACTTGTACTAGGTTATCACCAAGAATTCTTATCAAGGAAAGATGGTGGCTTGCATTATTATTATTATTATTAGTTTTTTGAGATAGGCTGTCCCTGTGTAGCTCTGGCTGTCCTGGAAGTCACTCTGTAGACCAGGCTGGTCTAGAGCTCAGAGACCTGCCTGCCTCTGCCTCCCGAGTGCTGGAAATAATTATTATTATTTCTGATTTGGGGTGGTAGTGATGAGAGTGAGACCATTTAATTTACCTGTTGTTGCTACAGAAGTTGGCTGTGCCCCAGACAAATGGAGTGCTGGTCTGTTCCCACAGATCTGCAGGAAAACAAGACAGCTGGTGATACACTAGGAAAAACACCAGTCCATGTTAGTTGGATTTGTCAGATGGGAAATGATATAGCGAAATTTTGAGGGGTGAAAGTGAAAACTGATTGAGTGCCCTGTCCAAGTAATACAGAAGCAGGAATTTAACATAAAAGCCATAAATAATAGTAATTGTGCCTAGCAGCAATCACACAGATGGCACAACAGGATTTATGGGGAAAAAGATGTAAAGAAATGCTTCTTCTACTCAAGGGGGATAGGTTCTTCTATGTGTCTGCAGAGTGATACAAAATGTGCTCATTTTGGGGCCCAATAAAAATAATAAGGCGTTCCAAACAACATGGTATGCTCATAAAAAAAATCTTCCTTCTGTCTTAAGCAAATGATCTGAGATTAAAATGTGTGGAGGAAAAATAAAATAAAATGTGTGGAGGAACAATGTAGAGGCACCCCACCTTTATCCCAGTCCTCATCACACGGGGGGCACTGCCATGTGCTCGCAGCCAGAGTCTCCTGTCCAAGGTTCCTGGTTTGGTTGACTGAAAGACAAGAGAGATTTGACACATAAAGGGCGGGTGGGAGGACCAGCTAGGTTATCCTGTTTAAGGGATTTAAGGCCTTTAAAGGCTGCAGGGTAGCTTATTGAGTCTTTGTTTCTAAATTCAGAAAGGATGAAAGCTGACAGGAATAAGAAGCAGAAACAAAGACTGTTACCATAATTATTGCAGTAACAGGATTGTTTATTTATTGAGGCAAGGTCTCAAACTCAAAGATGACCTTGACCTTCAGGTCCTCCTGCTTCTACTTCTTAAGTTCAGGTATTAAAGGTCAGTGCCACCATGCCTATGGTTTTTCTGGCACTGGAGCTGGAAACCAGCTTTATCCATGTGAGGCAAGTGGCTTGACCCATTGAGTTCTATCTCCAGCCTCAAGGACTTTATTTTTAGATGATTTATTATAATAGCAGAAGAGAAAACAGTCTGACCTATATAAGAATCTAATAACCCATTGCTACAATGACATAACCATGTCCAAGGCAGAAAACTGTTCCTCTGAAATGGTGAAAGCCAGAAAGCAAGCTGATGATGTGGAATTATACCAACCGACCGGCTAACCCACCGTATTGGAACATTTTGGCTAGTAAGGCTTACCCACATCCTGCTCAATACAGCTCTTGTCATCACAGCTGGAGATGTGATGACTGATTTCAGCCCGGGGAACCTGGTGCCGAGCATTGAAGGGACAAGTAGCCAATTTGTTTGCGACATCAGGATGATTCTGTGGAATCAAAATTAAGGGATCTATCAATTTTTTGGATATCATAAAATCCATGGAAACTAGCTCAGCCTTCTTCTATAAATGGCTCCATGAAATCCCTCAGCAAGCTGCTGTGGTGGGTACACTCAGCCATGGTGGGCAACTCATCACAGAAGCCTAAGAGGGAATTATTTATCATCCATACAGACCACACAGCTACTATCTCAGTAGCATCAAAATGCAAGCCTTTTGGTTATGACTGTAGGGATTAACACACACACACACACACACACACACACACACTGGGATTTTAGTGGCTTATAAAGAGCAAAGCAGTCTGTGTGAGCAGTCAGACAGCACAGCCTGCAAGGTTGGAGCTCTCTGGGTGTCTCTGCAAGCTGACATTCAGAATCAACACTAACAAGAAACAGTCTGCACTGCAGTAAGGCCCTTGCTAGTGCAATGTGACAGAGCTAAGAAACAGAGCTGGAGAGACAGCTAATCATTATCAGACCAATGCAGACACAATGCAGACCAATGCAGACACAATGCAGACACAATGCAGACACAATGCAGTATTGATGACTGAAATGAGGCCTGAACAATTTAACCTTCACTTGTTTGTGTGTTTTTGAAGAGAGGGTTTCTCTGTGCAGCCCTGTCTGTCCTGGAACTCTCTCTGTAGACCAGGCTGGCCTGGAATTCAGAGATCCATCTATCTCTGCCTCTCAAGTGCTGGGATAAAAGGCATGTGTCAGCATTGCCCGGTGAACAATTTAACCTTTATTTCATCTATTTCACTTAGGAAAACCCCAAGTGTAGCTTGTTTTAACCCCCAAAGGATTTATTGTCACTTAAATGTCATGGTAAAGGTACTAGCAATTAAAAAATTAAGAAAAAGAGGGCCTGGAGAGATAGCTCAGGGGTTAAGAGTGCTGCTATCCTTCAAGACATCCTGAGTTTGTTTTCCTGTTTACAAAATAGAGGCCTGGGGGGCTTGGAGAGATGGCTCAGTGGTTAAAGCACTACCTGCTCTTCCAAAGGTCCTGAGTTCAATTCCCAGCAACCACATGGTGGCTCACAGCCATCTGTAATGAGATCTGGTGCCCTCTTCTGGTCTGCAGGCATTCATGCAGACAGAATGCTGAGAATACTGTACACATAATAAATAAATCTTAAAAAAAAAAAAAAAACCAACAAAATAGAGGCCTGACAACTGCTTGTAACTTCAGCTCAGGTAATTTAACACTTTCTTCTGGTCTCTGTGGGTACTCTCTCTCTCTCTCTCTCTCTCTCTCTCTCACACACACACACACACACACACACACACACAAAAAGAGGGGCAATGAGATGGCTCGTGGATAAAGGAGTCTGCCACCAAGTCTGACAGCCTGAGTCTGATGTCCAGGACCCACATGGTAGAAGGAGAGGGCTGTTTTTTTTTTTTTTCACATGCACACTGGGACACACACATATCTGCAAACATACACATGCTAAGATGTACTGTTAATGTTTAAAACAGAAAGAACATAAAGTTGGGTGGGTAGGGAGGTAGGGAGGATCTGAGAGGAATTGGGGGAAGGCAAATATATTGTATAAAAAAAACCTTTTGTCCATAGAAAGTTTTAAAGATGTGTCACAAATAAAACTCTAAATGTAGGGGCTGTAGAGATGGCTCAGAGGTTGAGAGCACTGACTGCTCTTCCAGAGGTCCTGAGTTCAATTCCCAGCAACCACATGGTGGCTTACGGTCATTTATAATGAGACCTGGGGCTCCTTCTGGCTTGCAGGCACACGTGGAAGGAATGCTATACACATAATATAATAAATAAATATTTTTAAAAAACTCTAAATGTAAAACTATTAAGAAGCAGGCTGGAAAAAAGTGCAAGACAGAAATGTACATGGGTCTGGAGAGATGGCTTAGGGGTTAAGATTGCTTTCTGGGCAATCCTGAGGACCTCAGTTTGGATTCCAGCACTGCTGGTGGCCAAGTCAGTGGAGCAGTAGGTGGCAACTGAAGTTCAAGGTGTCAGCCCACCAGGAGGCAACTCCCTGATGGGTGAATCTTGGATAGACAAGACTCCCTCCTCCCAAATGTCTTTTGCTTCTGCTGCCCTTGCATGTCTGCTGCTGCCATCTTTCTCTGGTATCTGCATGGTGTGAATGGGTGTGGGGAGACCCCCCTGTCTGTAACATAGTGAGTCTGGTAGTATGTTTGGAAACATCCTGTCCTACTGGGCATCTTTACCTGTGGATTATTATAAAGATGATTCCTTCCTAAGCTGTACTGTCTAATTGATAATAATGTTAGTTTAAATAGAGTTTTGATGATAAAAAATAAAACAAGGACGTATCACATAGCTAGAATACATGAGTTTCTATTGAGCCACACAGACTGTGGCTTAGGTTAATGATTAAGAAAAACAATTGAGTCACAGTAGCTAGTTTAAATTCTTTTAACCTTAAGGCTGGGAGATGTGTTCACAGGTTTCAGAGTGCACCATAGCTGAAACAAAGCTTTGAAAATAACTTAAGGCTAGACTAGATGTTTTGATAAACAGCCTTGAGATGAAAAACCCAAGAAGACAATCCACAGTTTTAGGAAGGCAGAGTTGAGTGAGGAACTCTGTAAGGTCGGGGAACAAGAGCAAAGCAGCCCAGTTACCATTAGCTGACCTGCCTTTCTTGCTAGGATTGGTTGATGACCAAAGGTGATGATTAATTCCTCATACCCATTTCTGTCCTCAGTCTTCTGATATGATGATGGTGGGGTATGTACTCTAAAGATTTAAAGTACAGCTGACTGTTTTTCATGTATAAAAGTTTCGGTTTGTGATTCCTTTAAGATTCCTCACAAGATTACCTTTCAAGATAAGTAATAAAGTAACTGGCCATTCTTTATAACTGCAAAGCACAGCCTGCCAGCAAAAGACCTGACTAAGAAGAATGTCTTACTTGCCACATCATTAATCTGTAACAAGTTGCTTGGCTATGAATGCACGTGGGTTCTTGGGATAACTTGTTTTTCACCTGTAATATGTAAAATGTTTTATCATGTAAAGGATATGGACAACACGCTCTCTTTTACTTGTATTCACTGTAGACATTCACTTGAAAAACAGAATGTAACCACAATGTAATTTTTATATGAAAGGCTTTGCTGGGATATATAAGCTGTAAGGGGTAAAGATAAAACAGGTTAGAAGGGAAACATCAAGAATCAGAGAGTTAGAAGGAGAAGAGAAACATCTAGAGAGACAGAAGGGACATTTCTGGATAGAGATAAGAATACAGAACACAGTATGAAGAATACAGAATTAAGAAGGAAACCATCAAGAGAGTGTGTGTCTTTTCCCCTAACCTTAGTAGCAGTGGCTCCATGGATTCCCTTTGAATCCTGTACTGCGGGGGAGGGCAATTTAGTGAGTCTAAGTACTTACTCCTCTGGTGTCTCCAGTACTGCCTTCCCTTTCCCCCACAAAAAATGCAAAGAAAAATAAAACACACGAGACACAGCCTCCATTACTTACATAAGATGTTAGACATTGAAAGCAAAGGTTTTTGGAGGCAGGGTCTTGCTATACAGCCCTGAATGGACTTGAATTTGTGGCAATCCTCCTGCCTTAGCCTTGCAAATGGTAGGATTACAGACATGAACCATTATACCTACTTAAGGGAAATAACTTAAAATTTTTTTACTTTAAATGTGTATGAGGTATTGGATTCTCCTGGAGCAGTTGTGAGCCATTTGTGAAGTTGGGTGCTCTGGAAGAGCACTACAGGGGCTCCTAACAGCTGGTCATCTCTCCAGCCTCCACCTCTCCTTTGTTGTTGTTTGTGAACTTACTCTATAGACCAGGCTGGCCTTTAACTCAAGAGTATCTCTGCCTACCTTTGCCTCCTGACTGCTGGCATTAAAGGCATACTCTACCATCGCCAGCTAAATTTTTTTTTAAAAATATTACACATATGAACGTTTTGCCTGCATGTATGTATATATGCATCATGTACCATATGTGTGCCTGAACAGAAGAGTGGGTCAGATCCCCTGAACTGGAGTTATATGGCTGTGAGTCACCATGTAGTGCTGGGAATCAAACCCAGGTCTTCTGTAAAAACAACAAGTGCTCTTAATTGCTGAGTTATCTCTTTATCCTCCACCTAGGTTTTCTTTTCTTTTTTTTTCTTTCAGACATGGTCTTTTGTGGGGCGAGGTTTGAGACAGATTTTTCTCTGTGCAGCCAGCCATGGCTGTCCTGGAACTCTCTCTGTAGATCAGGTTGGCCTCGAACTCACAGAGATCCACTTGCCTCTGCCTCCCTAAATGCTGGGATTAAAGGCATGCACCTCCACAGCCTGGTGAGATTTGGTCTTATCAAGTATCCTAGGAGGTCACTACTTAATTTACCTGTCTTTGACCTCATGGCAATCCTCCTGCCTCAACTTCCTGGTTACAACTGTCTGGATTACAGGTGTGTGCCACTATGTCTGGTGGGTTTGCTTCTTTGTTTTGAGACAGTCTCATATGTAGCCCAGGTTAACAAGCCTAACTTGCTATATAGTTGAGGGTAACGTTGAACTTTTTATTTTCCTGCTTCTACCTCTTTACTGCTGGGATTATAGGCTCGAAAATCAATGGGATTTTCGAAATGGGATGAGTGACTGTGGGAGCAACAAACAGCAGGGGCTTCCAGAAGCTATAGTAAGAAGTTCCTCTGGGAAAGAGCACCTGTGTCCCAGCTAGCATCCACTGCCATTCTCTGTGTGAGATGCCTCATTTCTGCAGTGACCATCGGAAACTTAGCCCCCACCTGCCCCCTGAGGAGTGATCACCGAGGTTCTGCTCTGCCTGCACCTGAGGGAGTATTCAACCAAGCCAGAGTCCCTAAATACATCAACTGAAGAAGAGATGGTAGACAGTGTAAGGGTATGTTCAACAACATAAAGAGCAAGGCAACCCCACCAGGTTCTACAACAGTAAAACCTGAACATCCAAAGGCAGATGAAGCAGAAGAAAACGACCATTTTATTAATTGTTTCTCTTAGTGTCTGTGCTGCTGGTGTTCTATTTAGGAAGTGGTTCCCTGTGCCAATGTGTTCAAGTGTACTTCCCACTTTCTCTTCTATAAGGTTCAGTGTGGCTGGCTTTATGCTGAGGTCTTTGATCCATCCGGACTTGAGTTTTGTGCATGGTGATAGATATGGGTCTATTTTCATTCTTCTACATGCTGATATCCAGTTATGCCAGCACCACTTGTTAAATAAGCTTTCCTTTTCCCATCTGATATTTTTTGCTTCTTTGTCAAAGATCAGGTGTCTGAAGATGTGTGGATTGATATCCGGGTCTTCTATTCAGTTCCATTGGTCCTCCTGTCTGTTCTTATGCTAATACCAGGCTGTTTTCAGTACTGTAGCTCTGTAGTAGAGTTTGAAGTCAGGGATTGTGGTGCCTCCAGAAATTCTTTTATTGTACAGCATTGTTTTGGCTATCCTGGCTTTTTTGCTTTTTCAAATGAAGTTGAGTACCATTCTTTTGAGGTCTTTGAAAAATTTTGCTGGGATTTTGATGGGCATTACATTGAATCTGTAACAAATTCTTAACACAAAATATCCTGGAAATCTGGTACACTGTGAAAAGACCAAACTAAGAATAATAGGGATAGAAGAAGGAGAAGTAGAACTTAAAGGCACAGAAAATATATTCAACAAAATTACAGAAGAAAACTTTCCTAACCTAAAGAAAGACATGCCTATTAAAGTGCAAGCAGATTACAGAACACCAAACAGACTGGGCCAAAAAAAATGTCCCTTTGTCACAAAATAATTAAAATGCTAAATGGACAGAATAAATAAAGAATACTAAGAGCTACAATGGCCAAATAACATATAAAGAAAAACTCATCAGAATTACATCTGACTTCTCAGTGGAATCTCTGAAAGCCAGAGGTCCTGGACAGGCATTATGCAGACACTAAGAGACCACAGATGCCAGCCCAGACTATTCTATCCAACAAAGCTTTCAGTCACAATAGACATAGAAAACAAGATATTCCAGGACAAAACCAGATTTAAATAATACCTATCCACAAATCAGCCTTACAGAAAGTATTAGGCGGACAACCTAAGCAAGTGAGCTACATTCACAAAAACAAAGGCAATAGATGATCTCACAGCAGAAAATCCCAAAGGGAAATGTGTTGGGCCAAAATTATTTCAGGGCTTTTACCTCAAGGCCCATAGGACAGAGAAAAGCCAAAGAAGGACATCTCATATTAGTCACAGGAAAAATCCATCAAGATGAAATCTCAATTCTGAATATTTGTGCTTCAAATACAAGGTATGCACCTTTGTAAAAGAAACATTACTAAAGCTTCTTAAATCATATATCAAACCCCACACACTAATAGTGGGAGACGTCAAAGCCCCACTCTCACTGCTGGACAGGTCTGGCATTCCTCACAGTGCCCCACACAATAGAAACAGAAGGACATGGCCCAACTCTTTGTGTGAGGCTACAGTTACATTGATGCCCATAGACACAAAGACACAACGAAGAGAGAGAATTACAGACCAATCTCCCTCATGCAAAAAATAGTCAATAAAACACTGGCAATCCAAATCCAAGAACACATCAGGAAATTATCCACCATGACCAAGTCGGCTTCATCCCAGAGATTCAGGGATGATTCAACATATGAAAATCTATCAGGGTATCCATCATATAAATAAACGGGAAGAAAAAACCCACAGGATCATTTCATTAGATGCTGAAAAGCCTTTGACAAAAATCCAACACCTCTTCATGATAAAGGTCTCGGAGAGATCAAAGATACAAGGAACATAAGTAAACATAATAAAGGCAATATATAGCAAGCCAACTGTCAACATCAAATTAAACGGAGAGAAACTCAAAGTGATTCCATTAAAATCAGGATCAAGACAAGACTGTCTACTTTTTCCACATCTACTCAATATAGTACTTGAAGTTCTAGCCAGAGCAATAAGACAACAAAAGGAGATCAAGGGGATACAAATTGGAAAGGAAGAAGTCAAACTTTCACCATTTGCAGATGCCATGATAGTTTATGTAAGTGATCTGAAGAATTCTACCAGGGAATTCTACAGCTTACCTTCAGTAATGTGTTTGGATACAAGATTAACTAAAAACAAAACAACAAAAAATCAGTAGCCTTCCTTTACACAGATGATAAACGGGCTAAAAAAGAAATCAGAGAAATATCACAATAGCCACAAACAATACAAAATATCTTGGAGTAACTCTAACCAAACAAGTGAAAGACCCATGTGACTTAAGTCTTTGAAGAATAAAACTGAAGAGGATATCAGATAATGGAAAGATCTCCCATGCTGTTGGATAGGTAGGATTAACATAGTAAAACTGTAATCTTACCAAAAGCAATCTACAGATTCAATGCAATACTCATCAAAATCACAGTACAATTCTTCACAGACCTCAAAAGAACAATACTAAATTTCATATGGAAACACAAAAACCCAGAATAGCCAAAACAACCCTGTAAAATAAAGGAACATCTGAAGGCATCTCCATCCCTGTCTTCAAACTACATTATAGAGCTACAGTAATGAAAATAGCTTGGTATTGGCACAAAAACAGATAGGTGGAGCAATGGAATCAAATTGAAGACCCTAACATTAAACTGACACACCTATGAACACCTAATTTTTTTAAAAACAGTATTTTTTAAATTAATTTATTTATTATGCATACAATATTCTGTCCGTGTGTATGTCTACAGGCTAGAAGAGGGCACCAGACCTCATGACACATGGTTGTGAGCCACCATGTGGTTGCCGGGAATTGAACTCAGACCCTTTGGAAGAGCCGGCAATGCTCTTAACCACTGAGCCATCTCTCCAGCCTCCAAGATTGTACTTTGCAAGTTAATGATGTGTGTGTATGTGCACATGGGTGCATGTGCCTGTGGAAGAAGAGGGCTTGGATTTCCTAGATTTGGTATTATGGAAAGTTGTGAGCTGACTGATATGGGTGGTAGAATTTGTGACCTATGGAAGAGTAGCAAGTGCTTTCAACCACAGAGCCTTCTCTCCAACTCTGACGTCAGTATTCTAACAACCCTTTACAAGTACATTCATTCTTTGATTCATTCATTCGTCTGTGTCTGTCTGTCTGTCTGCTTGTCTGCCTGCCTGCCTGCCTGCCTGCCTACCTACCGATTGGTTTTTTGAGACAAGTTTCTCTGTGTAACATCTCTGGCTGTCCCAGAACTCACTTTGTAGATCAGTTGCCTCTAACTCACAGAGATCTTCTGCCTCTGCCTCCTGAGTGCTGGGATTAGAGGCGTGCACCATACCCCCCAGCTAGTTTTTAATTAAAAGAGGACTAGAGTACATTGTATTAGCTAAGTCTATAAAGAAGTAAGCAGAGAGAAAACACTAATTAAAAAAAAAAAAGATTTGCAAGCTGGTGAGAGGCTTACTGGTTAACAATGCTTACTGCTCTTTCACAGGAGCTAACTACAGTTCCTAGCACCCACATGGTAGCTCAGACTGTTAATTCCAGTTCCAAGGGATCTGATGCCTTCTGGCTTTTGTGGGCACCTGTGTGCACTCTGTGCATATAAACTTACATAGGCAGACAGCCATACACATAAATTAAAAGAAAACAATTTTAAAAAATTAAAAAAGATGAAACCGAGTTACTTTTAGAAAGAATATTTTGAGTTAAGAATTCTAAACAAAAAGTCAGAGAGAACTGTAACAGAGATGTTAGAGAGGAGGCCTGGCGGTTAAACACTTGTTTTCAGAGGCCTATGCTTGTGTCTAGTACCCAAATAGTAGTTCAGAACTAACGTTTTAACTCCAGTTCCAGTGGATCCAACATCCTCTTCAGACCTCTACAGGCTCTAGGCACACACATAGTGCACAAAGATACATTCAACTAAAACACCCATACATATAAATCTAAAAATATTTTTAAAAGAAATAGGGTACTTAGCACTTATCAGAATAAAGAACACATCAAATTTATAAAGTAAGAGGATTTCTCATTACAAGTAAAAAAAAATGAGTGATTCTTTTGTTTTCCACAGGATAAGATTCTAGATGTTTATAAACAATGCTTTGTCTATAGTTAGGAGAAAGAAAAAAATAAAAAATTTATATACTTCAAAGAATAAGACATCTGTAACTATTGGAACTTAACAAGGTAGAATCTGGCATTCAATCACAATATTTATGTTAAGTGATTTGTTGCTTAGAAAGTGTGTCTCTTCAGAACTCAAGTCAGCATGAGAAGGCATATTATGAAAACAATACCCTACCTTTCTGCACTTGATAAGATGATAAGGAAATCTGCAGGCCCTGATCTGGTGATTTTTATCATACGGGCACTGTAATAACTTTTCAGGGTCCAGGGAGTCGACTGGAAGAGAGAAAAAATAAAGTAAGTATAAAGTATAATCCTGTTAAACTACAGCAGCCTTTCAGGAACATAGTGTTTTCAAAAATCTATAGTGAAAGAATAAGGCAGTCTAAGGAAAAGTCACACTTTTAAAATAAAGTGTGACTGGTCCAATAGCGGTAGGATCCACCTTTCATCCCAGCACTTAGGAGGCAGTAGGCAGATCTCTGAGTTCGAGGCCACCTACACAGTAAGATCTAGGACAGCCACAGAGAAGCCCTGTCTCATAAACAAAAACACACAAAGTCCAAATAGAACCCCCCAAAACCAACCAAAAAAATAAAACAAAACAAAAACAAAGAAAATGTGACTAAATGATAAAATCTAATTATGAGAAAATAAAATTGTCATCACTGACTCTTAAGCACAGTAGCACTGACTGCAGTGTGTGTGCCGAGGTCTCATTATATCATTTACATTTGACTGAATACCGCTTTCCAGTTCTCATGCTCTTTTTTTTTTTTTTTTTTAAATACAGGGTTTCTCTGTGTATCTCTGACTGTCCTGTAGACCAGGCTGGCTTCAAACTCACAGAGATCCTCCTGCCTCTGCTCCTGAGTGCTGGGATTAAAGGCATGCGCCACCACTGCCCCGTCAGTTTTCATTCTTATTATAAAACAAAAATGCTAAATGGCATCCAAAGTATTTTTCTTCCTCTTCCTTTTTTTCTTTTTCTTTTTGGTTTTTCGAGACAGGGTTTCTCTCTGTGGCTTTGGAGCCTGTCCAGGAACTAGCTCTTGTAGCCCAGGCTGGCCTCGAACTCAGAGATCTGCCTGCCTCTGCCTCTCAAGTGCTAGGATTAAAGGTGTGTGCCACTATTGCCCAGCTCGTTTTTCTTTCTTAACGGTAACAATTCAGGGTCATTTCTATTTTCTAGGTAGGTACTCCAACCAAGATTTCCCAGTAGCACATGAAAGGTGAAATGGACTGCTGGTGTCCCACTGCACTTGCGAACTCTACTCCCCCTATCCAGCTGGCCTTATGCAAATTAGGAATAATTAGGATCCTAGTTTATTTCTAGTAAACAAGTTGATAGCCATAGAGTTTCAATAGCTTCCCCCCATCTGTTCTTTGCTTTACTTCTCTATGTTGTATTGGTTATTCTAGTTTCCTTGTCCATGATCTCATTACTTTTGTCAGACAGATGATTTTACTTTTCATATTTTGGAATATAGATAAGAAAAAATTCCTTCAATTAATGACTACTAAACCATCCGGCTGAAATAAAAATAAACTGCAAAGACAGAGCCTCCTACAGGTGTTGGAAACGGAGACAACTGCAGACATGGACTGCCGCGTCAAGAAGACCCTGAACCCTGCTATTCAAAACTGCCCTTAGGCTATCCAAGCTGCCTTGGCTGTGCCCCCAATCTTAACAAGCTTGGTTGTTAAGGCAACCCAATAAAACGCCCTTGCCACCCCTTGAAGGTAAGAATAAACAATTCACCTTTGATAAGAAGCTTATAAAGCAGAAGACTGCAGTGGAAATCAGAAACCAGAGGGGAACTGAAAGTTTCACTGGCAATGTAAACACGGAATAAATTGCTAACCTCAGTCATGATGCAAATGAGCCTGAAAGGTGATCTGAAGGACAGAAGGAATAGGGAGGAAAAGTCCTGGAGGACAGGCGTGCTTATTATGCCAGCAATCTTTCCCTATTTGTGCAGCTTTGGAACACCCAGAGAGCATTCAGAAATGAGATTCTTATTAGTTTTCCTTCATTTAATCCATTCCGTCACTAGCAAATGCCAGCAACTGACAGAATGGGAGGTATTCTATGATTCACACACATGATAACTGCCCATGTAGAGCAGGAGTCAAAACTGACGAGAATTACCAAATGCTTTACTTCCTGGTCTGGCAATTTAGGTCAGTTCTCAATCTACTGTTCTATAGGAAAAGAATTATCCATCCTTCATCCATCCATCCATCCATCCATCCATCCATCCATCCATCCATCCATCTTGGTGTCGGTGACCAAATTACAGGTCTTGAGAGTGCTCTACAAGTCTTCTATAACTGAGCTACATCCCAGTCTTGTAAAAATTTTGTATTTATTACCATGTGTGTAGATCAGAGGACAACTTTATGGAGTCAGTTTTCTCTCCTTTTACATGGGGTCTGAAACTCAAATCAAGGCTGTCAGGCTTGTACGGCAAGCATTCCACTGCGAAGCCATCTCATTGGCCTGTTGGTTTGCCTTTTAATAACCTTGCTGTGAAGCCCAAGCTGGCCTAGAAGTTGGGATCCTCCTGACTCAGCTTCCTATGAGCTGGGATTACAGTTAGTTCTCATATCTCTCTCATTACTTAAATTGAAAGTGTTTTATTTCAGACCATTTGTATAGAGTGATATGGCTGTAGACCAAGAGTCATATTTAAAATTTGATATTTCTTTTTAAAAAAATAAAAATGACTTATTTTCATTTTGTGTGCATTGATGTTTGTCTGCATGTCTGTATATGATTCCCTGCAACTGGAGTTGCAGACAGTTGTGAGCTGCCATATGGGTGCTGAGAACTGAACCTGGGTCCTCTGGAAGAGCAGCCAGTGCTCTTAACTACTGAGCCATCTCTCCAGCTCTAAAATATGAATTATATCTATACCTCAACACCACACAGACCTTTCGTAGAGAAATTTTTCACAACATCCAGTCTAGTCAGGCATCACACTACACATAACTGACGTGTTATTATCTGAAAGCAGCAAGCAGTACATACTGTAAGTGTCTTCCATGCTGATGGCAAAGGAGTCCTGTTCAAGTGCTAGAGGGAAAAACATGGTTCAGAGAATCAGAAATGAAATTTATCAAAACACAGCCCTAAGATGTAGAATCTTTTCTGGAATTGAAGCCGCTCAAGTTCAATAAGACAAATCCTTAGTATATGGCCTCCTCCCGAGACATTTCTCTTCTTTAAAGCATTCTTTACTCCTAAGACTAATTATCATATAATTCATATTCTTGGAATAAACTCCAGGGCCCCAAAACAGCTAGGCCAAATATGACTACAGACATAAATTATATTCAAGTGACAACATAGTAATGAAATTTAAGAGGTATTACAACACTTGCCACTGTTCACCTCCTACTAGAGTTTGATGTTATTTAACATTAGTAATAGGGGGTAAGTCAAGGCCATGAAATACTATTATTTAAAATTCCAGATAAACTACTTTAAAGCTCTTCTTTCCAGCTGGACAGATGCTAAATGGTTAAGAGCTCTGGTTGCTCTTGTAGAGGATCTGGGTTTGGTTCCCAGCACCCACATAGCTTACAAGTGACTATAACGCCAGTTTGAGGGGATCAAATGCCCTCTTTGACCTCGGTGGGCAATGCATACCCATGGTGCACTCATAAATGCACACATACTCATGTAAAATAAAAATAAGTCTTATTTAATAACTTTTTAAAATGAGATCAGGAGATGTCATACTGATGTTCTCCTATCTTTATTCTGTTCCTCTCATTTCTTACATAAAGGCAAGATTAGTCCTACTCCGGTCAGTACTGGTTCCCTCTCTACAGATTACAAGTGAATTTAGGATTTAAGAACTCACAGAGACCACGTAAGAGAACAAATATAACAGAAATGAAAAACATTAAAATAAAATGTCTCAGTTTGAATTCTCTTTTACTGGAGAGCTCTATTGAACACTGAATTAATTTACTTATTATTATGGGAAAACTAATCTTGTATCTAACTACTCCCATAGGAATCTTCTGAAAATTGGATGCACATACAGCTGTTGTCTCTAGGCAAGCTCTCCTTTGGCCTCTCACACAATTCCATACTCCTTCCCCCCATTCTATGACATAAGCACCATTAGAACCTTTGTTAGGAAATACAGGTGATCAGCTAAAACTCCAGTTTAGTACTTCGTTGCAGAGCCCATTTGTTTAATGACAATTACTAGGGAAACTGTCTGAAAATTATTCTTCATGTTTGTATTAAACTGCCCTGACCTTCTGGAACCTCTATTACAGTTATGTCATACTTTGTTAAAAATAAAAAAGGTTTGGAAGGAAGAGTCAAGCATTACATTTTCTTGTTTTCTTTTTTCATTTTTTTTAAATTTCAAGGCATCTAAGAGAGATGAATGCAGCAGTAGTCAGCTACTTAGAGAGCTGACCTCTTCTTTCCCAGCAGATTGATTACAAGTAGGTCAAGAGTGCTGGAATTCACGGTATCAGCCAGCTGTCTCTTATCTTCCCCATCAAATAGTTCACAGGTGATTAGATTCCCTTCCCTCAGTACTAGGCTGCTGTGAACTGGATAAAGTGCGAATCTGAAGCTACTGTTTAAACCCTGAAAAAAATTGCTGATCTCGGTAAAGTAGTAATTTCTCTATCCTTACCAAAAGCCCCCGGATTCGAGAAGATTCTCAAGCAACGCGAGGATAAAAGGAGCAGGCAAGGAGGGGGAGGTTTTGAAAACAAGGTGGAAAAAGGTGCCAGGCAGGCCGTCGAGGTATAATGGGCGACGGCAGTGGCGAGGGCTTGAGGTTGTGGAGTGAGGGAGGGCGCCTCCTTGAAGGTATCCCACACGAGAACTGCTCCCAAGGGCTGACCCAAGCCAAAGCCCTACCACCTTTCCTCCTTACCTCAGCTCAGACGCTCGCCCCACAGCCGACTTCGCCTTACAGTCAGGCCCCGGCAACGCCCACTTCCGGTCGGCCCACTTCCGGTCGGCCCACTTCCGGTCGGCCCACTTCCTGTTGATGCCAGGGCGGGGCTGCACTTCCTGTGACTGTAGCTTGAGCTGGCCCAGTGCTACAAAGCCAACGCTTGTGACGCTTCCTCCCTTTGGCTCACCCTCATGCCTTCAAGGCTACCTCTTGGGGATTTTCAGCCGCTTTGCTTTTAGCCGCCACCTCTCTCTACTCCCTGGCCCACATGGTCCTATGTGGGTGGAGAGCTTCCTTTGCTGGCTTTGGGGTGGCCATCTTAGAAAAACCAGGAAAAGGATGGGACTGGTCGGAGCTGGGTGCTGTTTACAAGAAAGCCTTGTTTGTGGAAGTTGTTGCAGAAATGTAATTTAGATTTTGAGAGTTCAAAAGAGGACAGCTGAGGAAAATCAGGAAGGGCAGGGATTTTGTGACTCTATAGTACATGTAGGCTCTCAATTGGAAAGACAATGGTAGTCTCCGAGAATAGTTGGGAGGATGATAGACTTGTGGTGGGATTAAAGGGAGTTTTAAGTTGGAGAGGACAGGTGGGTCAAAGAACTGAAAGCAGGAAAGTCAAAGCACTGGGAGTCCTTTAGAAAAGATACCATTCCTAAACTATAATTGTATACCAGCGTAAGTATAAATACTTGTCCCCAAAGTGCTTAGGAAAACAGATACTAAATTGGAATGGTGGTCGAATGGGAATACAACATATGCCAGGAAATGGTAGAGTGTAAATTCCTATAAGGAAATTTTTAGTAGGGCCTGAGATGCCTTGCAAAAGCATTAGGGAGAAAAATGATTTATACTATAAATTTTATAGCGTTTGAAAAGGTGTTGGCACTGTGGGTAGATTTGGTGATACTGTTTTAAAACTACCAAGTTGTAAAATACATTGTATGATATGACAGAAAATTTTGTACTGTCCAAATCTTAATAGGCCATCTAGAAGTTGTCTGACTGCTGAAATCCTGGGACTTCTGACATGTTTCAGTGGGTAAGAGCCTAAATACAGTTTGAGAGAATCATCAGGATAGCAAAACAAGGAGCTTAGGTGAATAGGGTCTTAGGAGTGGGTGCTTTATTTTTACAGGAATAATTTGTAAACAAATTCCAGCTCTGCTTCACACTCCAGTCAGCTGACGAGTGAATGCTTCAGAGCTTTCAGTTCGGAATAAGACACTAGAAGGAGCTAGGGAGTAGAGGCACAAACCTGTCGTCTTAGCACTTGGGATGCTGAGGCAAAAGGATTGTCATGGATCTGAGGCCAGCTGGGACAGCCCAAACTATAGAGTGGGACCCTGTCTGGTGGAAGACCTGCCTCAGAGTGGGTGGGGGTGGGGTCCCAAAGAGAATATGTGGGGTGGGGGGAGAAGGAGGCAGACAGACATGATCTGAGGATGAATCGGAGTGGCTGCCAGCAGCATTTAATTGAGAAAAGATTACACCTTTTATACTGTATAGTTGCACATAGGATTAAATGAGAGAACAAGGGGTGTAACTTGAGATCAGAGCACTGGCCTTGATAATCGGCACCAGTCAGGGAGGGCCACCAACCAACCCACCCAAACCCAGGAAGAAATAGGTTGTGGATGGGAGATGGACCGACGATGGGCTGGTCATTCTTTTTTTTTTTTTTAAGATTTATTTATTTGTTATGTATATAGTGTTCTGCCTACATGTATACTTGAACACCAGAAGAAGGCACCTGATCTTATTACACTCATTAACTCATTACAGATAATTTTGAGGTACCATGTGGTTGCTGGGAATTGAACTCAGGACCTCTGGTAGAGCAGCCAGTTCTCTTAACCTCTGAGCCATCTCTCCAGCCCAGTAGGACAATGATTCTTAGTCATGTCTGCACATTGGAATCATTTGGGGAGTACTTAAGACATACCGTGTAGCTTGTAGCTTGGTGGTGGTGGCCCACACCTTTAATCCCAGCACTTGGGAGGCAGAGGTAGGTGAACCTCTGAGTTTGTGACCAGCCTGGTCTACAGCTTGAGTTCCAGGATAGCCAGGACTACATACTCTGAGAAATCCTTTCTCAAAAAACAAAACACCCCCAAAAAACTAAAAACAAAACCCCAAACCAAACCAAATCAACTCCCTTCCCCCAAAAGAGAACATGTAAATTCGTCTTAGACCAATTAATCAGAAAAGAGCCAGGCATAGTAATTTTTTTTTTTTCAAGACAGGGTTTCTCTGTGTGACAGCCCTAGCTGTCCTGGGAACGCACTCTGTGGACTAGGCTGGCCTCGAACTCACAGAGATCCTCCTGCATGTGCCTCCTGAGTGCTGGGGTTAAAGGTGTGTACCACCACCGCCTGGCTCTAGGCATAGCTATTTTTAAAAACTTACCTAGATGATTCTAATATGCAGCTAGACTAAGAAAATTTGCGAAAGCATTTCTTTCACCTGAATGGTAGGGATGAGTCATAGGAGCAAGCTGGTAAATGCTTTTTCCGAGAGAATTGCTTCATTGTAAACTTAGCACAAAGCATTTTAGGAAAAGCTAATTTTTTTTCCAAGTTCACTTCAGATCATTAGAAAACAGCTTAAACAATTGTTTTTGTTGTTTTTGAACCCACTCTGTAGACCAGGATAGCGTCAAACTCACAGAGATCCGCCTGCCTCGGCCTCCTGAGTACTGGGATTAAAGGCATGCACCACCACTGCTTTAAAACAATTCTTATGAGATCTTATGAATTTTGAGTTTATCACAATATCATTCATGCAGAATTAGTGGGACCAGAGTGGTTTGAACTAATTTTCTTTTCAGAGAGCTGGTGCAATTTTTGTCACTGTTGCTATGACCCATAAGTAGTTTTAATTTAGATACTTACAGATTGAAGTTTCTGAGAAAGCTGAGAGCTTGAGAGAATGGGAGCAGGGAGAACCTCAAGTAGGCTTTCCTATAGTCTGATGCCTTCCTTGTCACAATGGCAGAGTTCTCAGGTGACAGCTGCTCCATTAGCACCACCAGACAAGCCCACTGACTCAACAAAGGTAAAGCTGTCCTTCAGTGGTGACTTGGAAATAAAGGTGAACCACACATCTGTCCTGTTCTTCAGTACTTTGTTCATTCTCTTTCAAGGCAAACAAATTTATGCTTTATCTGAGATCCCTGCTGAGTTTTCTTTCAGGCTGTTTTTTTTTTCTGCCTAGGTTGATATTTGAAAATGGAAAAACAATGAGACCAAGTAATTTATACCAGGGTTATTCTAGGAGTTAGCTGAGATTATTATCCAAAATTGAATATATGTCTACACACACATATATGTATACAACATAAACAAAACCCCCAAACTACAACACATTGAAATGTGCAATTCCTTAGTTAGGAAATAAGAGCAAACTGAGTACAGTTGGAAATGTCTATAGTCCCAGACTACTTGAAAGTGAGGAGGCTCACTTTAATTTGAGTTCAAAATAGGGTTGGCTAACAAAAACAAAGTGGTAAACAACTGTGATTCTAGTGCTCAGGAAGCTGAGACAGGAGAATTTTGAGTTTGAGGCTAGCTTGTACTATGTACTGAAAAATTCTCAAAAACAAACAAAAATGTTAATGTTATACAAATTTAAGGGTGAATATCAGTAGGTCTCCTTTGTATAACGTATGTAGGAGGACATATGGGATATGAAATAGCTAGTTCAGTTTCCTTTTGGTTTTGCCATAATTGGAGAAAAAAAGATCATTTGAACAGACTCCAGGAAACTTGTGCAGGGCTGAGCCTCAAAAGGCGGTAGGTGTTCATTTGACGATGATAATATTTTTTTTCCTGGGGGCAGGAGATTCAACACAGGGACCCTCTGCATAGCCTTGGCTGTCCTCTAACTTGCTTTGTAGAGCAGGCTGGTGTCGATCTCAGATCCACCTGCCTCTGCTTCCCAAATGCTAGGATTAAAGGCGTGCGCTACCACTGCCCCCACGCATATTGTTTTAAACTTAGTCTTTGTGGATTTTACATCATGCATCCTGATCCCATTAATCTTCCTATTTCCTCACCTCTGCCCTCTGCCCCCAAACAAAATTTAAAAGTATAGCCTAAAAACAAAACAATAACACCCCCCAACAAAGAAAAAAAAACAAATTAAAAAATAGAAAAGAAATAAAAGAAAGCTTTGGCATGGAAGCTGTAGTGTGGTCCAATGAGTCACACCATATACACCTTAGTCCATTCATCTTTACTTATAACTGTTCTTTGCAATGGATTATTGGTCTGGCTCTAGGCTTCTGGTTCTGTTACTCTATTGATACTGGGCCCTTACTAGGACTCCTTCTGGGTGTCCTGTTGTCCTATATCATGGGGCTTCTGTAGCTTTGGATCTGTAGATCCAGCCCCTTCACCGGCTCCAACAATTCTTAGCTGAGATGGATATTTGGGCGGTCCAATTTATAGCCTGGTTCTGGGCCTGAATGCTAGCTGGGTTGCTCAGCCCGCCAACTGTCCTTCATCGTTGTCACCACCAGGGTGAGCTCTTCAGCACTGCCCCAGCTAGCTCACCCAATGTAGCAGGCAGCAAGGCCCAGGGCCAGTTCTGCTCTGCCAGCAGCATGTTTTTAAGTCTGACTAGGTCTAGATTACTCAACAAACTAGAAAACCCAAACTAAAACAGACAAAAACTCCCAGTGTCATTATTTTAAAAAGATGGGTATTCAATAATGAGATACAGCTGAGCTGATGGCTCAGAGACCTAGGGTAGAACCAAACATGACTAACCCTCCTCACCCCCCTAAAAAGTCAATGTAATGATTCCTAGCAATATTCTGCCATACCCATAGATTGGTGCCTAGTCCAATCGTCATCAAAAAGGCTTCCTTCAGCAGTTGATGGGAGCAGATGCAGAGATTGCACCCAAACATTAGGTGGAACGCTGTGAAGAGGGGAAGGGGGGATTGTAGAAGCCAGAGGGGTCAAGAACACCCGAGAGCGCAGCCACAACAGAATCAACTAAGCAGGGCTCACAGGGACTTACAGAGACCAAGGCAGCAATCATGAAGCTCGCATGGGTTTGCGCTAGATTCTCTGCTGACATGCTATGTTTATCTTGGTGTTTGTGGGACTCCTAACAGTGGAAGAGGGGCTGTCTCTCTTTTGCCTGCTCTTGGGACCTTTTTCTTATTGGGAGGCCTGGTTCAGCCTTGATGTGAGGATTTGTGCCTTGTTCTATTGCATCTTGTTGTGCAGTGTTCTGTTGATATCACTGGGAGGCCTCTTTCCTGAAGGGAAATGGAACAGCAGTGGACCTGGGTGAGATAGGAGGTGGGGTAAGGACTGGAAGGAGTGGAGGGAAGGGAGGCTGGGGTGGGGATGGATTGCATGAGAGAATAAATTAAAAATTATTTTAAAAATAAAGTTTAAAAGAAGTCGATGTTGGCTTGCCACCCTGGATTACAATGGGACCTTGTATCAGTAGAAAAGCCAGTGTTTGGGTATACACACAGTGCCAGGCAGATGCAGAGACCCACACCCAAACATTAGGTGGAACCCTGTGGAAGAGGGGAAGGGAGGATTGTAGAGGGAGGGTTGTATGGGAAATACAAAAACCACACAATTCGCACCTTTCTTGAGATTGATGGCATTAGCTAGGTAGAAAGGACAAAGTTGTCTAACTGCCATGTTAGACATTACTGAAGGAGACAGTGGCAAAGGAGATGGACTTGAAATCTGGAGCAGGGTTTTGACTAAAGGGTGGAGGGGGACATTTAAAACTGAGCAGAATGAAAAGTCAGGAATAATAAGCTGAGAACAAACTGAGCTGGCAGAGGTAGGAAGGTAGATTTAGAGCCATGTTCCAAACCCAGCTTGCCATAGAAACTATATCCTTTAAAAGCATGGAATATCTGCATAGCAGATTGAAGAAGGGTGACTGGAGGGTCATGATACGTGGCAGTAAGTGAGGAAAAACTTGGGGAATGAGTAATCTAATTTTGGAATAGTTTCAGAGCCCACAGACTGATGGTAATTCCCCTTCTAATAATAGAAATAGGCAATTGAGCTCTGTAGCCTTCAGGTGACTTATGTATGCAGATATGAAAACAAGGATGAATATAAAATTAAGTAAGTTTGTCAAAAGAAAATATTCTTTATTTAGATAAAAACATGTTAAGATGACAAACATAAGAGTTTATTTAAAAGTTGAGATTTTTCCTAACATTTAAAAACAACTTCTATTTGTTTGCTGGCGCTTTAATTTGCAATGTCTCCATCAGTTTTTCTGACCTGTAGGGAGAAAGAAAAAGATTGAAATAGTGTCATTTTCACAGCTTGAGGTGTGGCAGAAGCATTTAAGAACAGCTTTTCACAGCCTTTTCTCCAGTGTCTGATCTGAAGTCCCTAGGACTTTCCTTGTATTCTATTGTGGGTTGAGGAGGAACAGAATAATATGACTTTTTATAGGTGTTGAACCCATACCAAGTGCATATGAGACAGGAGCACTATCATTGAGCTGAGTTCCCAGACCAATCAATATTTTAATAAATTATTTTTTGAGATGGGGTCTTATTGTGTAACCCTGACTGACCTGGAACTTATTATGTAGACCAGGGTGGACTTGAACTCACAGAGCTCTGCCTGCCTCTGCCTTCTAGGTTTGAGGCTTAAAGGTGTGTGACTATACCAATAGTTTTTCTTTCTTTCTTTTTCCTTTCTTTTTTTTTTTAAAAAGAAAGGTTTGTCTAAGAATCTTTGAAAGTTTAGAACACAATGTTAAAACTTTCATATTAATTTGACAAAGGTTACATTACCTCTTGCCCAGGACTTGTAGCTGCTAGGATACTTATCAGCCTGTTGTAGGTCTCTTGAGTCACTATAGGAGAGAACCACAAGAAGCAAGTTAACAGGGAAGCAGGAATGGGGAATGAACGGATATATCCAGTTCCAGGTAGTCAGAGCAACATTATCCAGCATAATTGATATTACTCAGGGTTATAGTAGGAATCATTTAATTTCTGTCTTTTGTTTCATATTGTCCTTTATGCCTTCACTTCTCATGTGACTCCACCAGTGGCCTCTGGAACCCTTGTATGTGCTCTCCAAGCTTGTTTGGCTAGGGACACTGAGCTATTTGTGCAGAGCTGGTCCCCTTAAGTTTGAGAAGTTGGTCATTTATTTATTTATTTATTTATTTATTTAAAAAAAAAGATTTATTATATATACAGGGTTCTATCTGTATGCTTGCCGACCAGAAGAGGGCACCAGATCTCATTACAGATGGTTGTGAGCCACCATGTGGTTGCTGGAATTGAACTCAGACCTCTGGAAGAGCAGTTAGTGCTCTTAACCTCTGAGCCATCTCTTCAGCCCGGTCTTTTATTCTTTACACAATTATTTTGTATATACAAGGCCTTGATTGATTATAGTCCCAGGTGAACTATTGAGAAGGAAAGTACCCAGAACCATGCACATTTATGTGTGTGTATGTGGTAATATGTAATTGTGTGTGTGTGTGTGTGTGTGTGTGTGTGTGTGATCTGTATCCAACAACAGATCAGTGTTGGATATTTCAACTGTTTTCTACCTTGCTTATTTAAAAAAAATGTAAAATTTGATGTATATGGGTGTTTGTCTGCATTTATGTCTGTGCACCAAGTGTGTGCTTCATGACCATGGAGGCCAGAAGGAAATGTTGATTCCTAGAATTGCAGTTACAGATAGCTACGATCTGCTGGGGGGGCTGGGAATCAAACCTGGGTCTTCTGGAAGAGCATGGAGTACTCTTAACTGCTGAGTCATTGTGTGTGTCTGTGTATCTAGGTCAGAGGAAAACTTATGGGAGAGTTCATCTATCACTTGGCTCTTAGGGAGTGAATGCAGGCTGCCAGGCATGGCAGTAGGCACCGTGTTCATTGGAACATATCACTAGACTACCACCTTGTTATTATCTGTTTTTTAGATATGAGATCTCTTATTGAATCTGGAGCTTACTGATTTGGTCAGGCTACCTGGACAGCAAGTTTCAGGGAACCTCCTGTCTGCTTTCTCAGTGCTCTGATTATAGGTGTACACTACCATTCCTGAGTATTTTACATGGGTCTGGGATCTAAATTTAGGTCCTCTTGTTTGGACAGCAAGCATTTACTACCCGAACCACTAACAGCCCTGGTCACCAATCTTTTAAGTTAGTGACTAAACATCAGGGATTTTGAGTCTATGGTCTAATGGCCATCTTCTCTTTGAATGTTCATCTTTAGGACTGGTAAGATGGCTGAGTGGACCAAACCACATACTGCCAAGCCTTAAAACCTGAGTGTAAAACCCAGAATCCATGAGGTGAGTGGAAAAAACCGGTGGCAACAGGTTGTCCTCGGGCTTGCCCACAAATACCCTGGCCATTCTAAACAGGCAAGCAAATAAAAAACATTTTCAAAAGTCAGCTTATTACCTTGAATGATGGTGATAGCATACAGTTGGACTTACCTTTCACAAACCAGCTTTTTCGGAGCAAACGTCTCAAGAACAAATGAAGGAGAATGATGCATATGATCTAGAAAGTGAAGAACAAGGAAGAAGAAACAAATCCTGAGCATTATCAGCTTGTTGGTAGCAGGGCTTTTCTTAGTCTCCCTTATGTAGTTGTTGCTGGGAAGCAGCTGCTCTTCAGGGACCACAAGTCCACCACCTCACTTTTACCAGAGGAATGTAAACAGAAGTATCTTCTCAAACTAGGTAGTTAAAGACAGTTGTACCTTTCCATTCTCCTTTGTGTCATCTTTGGAAGCTAAATTTGGAATGTTGACAGCAGTAAGTTTGTATTCTCATGTTGTTATCCACTGAATTTCTGTCTTAGGGTTTTTTATTACTATGACAATGAACAAAATCACCTTGGGGAGGAAAGGTTTTTTTTCCATTACATTTCCAGGTGACAGTATACCAGTGAGGGGGTTAAGACAGGATCCTGGAGACAGGAGCTAAAGCAGAGGCCATGAAGGAGTGCCACTTGCTAGCTTGCAGACTGTGCTCTCTCTCTGTCTCTCTTTGTCTCTCTTTGTCTCTCTGTCTCTCTGTTTCTGAGGACAGGTCTTCTATGTGTGGCCCTGGCCATTTTGGAACTCTGTAGACCAGGTTGGCCTTGAACTCACAGAGATCTACCTGCTTCTGCCTCCTGAGTGCTTAAACACATGTACCACCACTGCCAGGCCTTCAGCCTGTTTTCTTATAGAACACAGAACCACCTGCCCAGGAGTGGTACCACCAACAATGGGTGAAACCTTCAACATCAATCACTAATCAAGAAAATGCCCTGCAGGCTTACCTACACTCTGATCTTATGGAGGCATTTTCTCAATTGTGGTTCCCTCTTCTCAGATGATTCTAGCAGTAATAACATTACTGTAGCACAGGCTGTGAACCACATGGGGAGCAGGTGGGAGTGTCTCCTGCTGGGGGATGTACTGGTTTGGTTAGGGTCAGTTTGTAGTAATTTCCTAGCATGCTATTTGCATCATGTGACTGAAGGTCGTCTAGCTCGGCCAGTGACACTAGGATATGACACTAGGACCTTAATGTGAGCTGCTGGGTCTGAAACTCCCAGTTGCACAATTTCTGCTATGCAGATAAGGAAGTCATACAAAGTATGGCCACCTTGGCTGATGAAGCTCAGTCCTGGTCAAAGGCTGCGGCCATGGGATGCTGGCTTGTAGCTCAGTGAGACTACTGTTTCTAAGTGGGCCACCTCTCTAGAGACAGGTCTTAAACTTAGTAATCTAATGTAGCGAAGGGTTGTGTGATAAGCATAAAGATTTATTACTCAGGGTTGTGTTTACTGTGCTAGTTCTAAAGAGCACTTCTGTTCACAGCTGTGTTCAGTTTCACCCTTGCTCACCCACATTCCAGACGTCAGGGTCAGTGATCTGATCGCCAGCATTGGAGTTTTCATTTCCTTCAAAACTTGGGGGAGTGACCTTTGGAAGATTAAGGGGCTCTGAAACAAAGCAGAAAAGATGTTGAAGTAGAATAGACAATTTTTAACAGCTGGGTAGCTAAGGCTTCTAAGTAACTCTGGGCTGTGGATGTAGGAAACAGAATCTGGTATTGCCTACACGCTCTCGAATGAAAAGCTCACCGTCATCAACTGCACTTCTGTTGACACAGTTGGCCTCATGTTCCTTGAGCCTTTTGATTGGGACCACATGACAAGCGTTATATTTGCAGTTAGCCATCTTTTTAGCTATCTTCGGATTTTTCTAGAAGGAAAAATTCATGTTATATTTTGCTTATATTCTATCCTCCACTCATTTCTGAAAATGCTGAAGAGATATTATGTCTCAGCTTTAAGAATGACTAGTTTCTAGTTGTGAGTGGAAGCAAAAAACCAAACCAAAGAAAAACTATTCTGAAAAAATTTCCCCAGCTTTTATTGGGGAAACTTACCTTTTTGCATGATGCCAGATGGTATTGTAACCTGCTGGCTGGTATCCTGTGGTTTGGGTCATAAGGACAGAGTTCTATGGCTTCTAACTCCATTGGTCCTAAAAGGCAGGCATCATAGGTTGGAAAAGAAAAGATTACCACTTGAGGTCAGGTTGTCTTGACATAGACCTATTTTCTATTCTTTGGGTTTTTGTTTGTTTGTTTTGTTTTGTTTTTCGAGACAGGGTTTCTCTGTAGCTTTGGAGCCTGTCCTGGAACTAGCTCTTGTAGTCTTGTAGACCAGGCTGGTCTTGAACTCACAGAAATCCGCCTGCCTCTGTCTCCCAAGTGCTGGGATTAAAGGTGTGCGCCACCACCACCCGGCTATTTTCTATTCTTAAAGCAATGTGGTATGGGGGCTGAAGAGATAGTTCACGATTAAGATTGGTTTCTGCTCAATCATGAAGTTAAGGAGTTCAGATTCCAACACCCAAACTGGGTGACTGACAAATGCTGGTAACGCCCATTCCTAGGGATCCCACACCTTCTTACCATCTTGGGATACCTGTGTGTGTGTGTGCACACACATATACACACCACTCACAAAGACATATTTGAATAACAAAAGCAATAGTTTTAGCTGGTTAGATGATGGAGTAAACTCTCTGCTTCCTTGTTCTGGGAGGCCAAAATTTGACATTCTACATACTAATAGGTTGCTTTAAATAGAACGCTTACCTCACAAATAGACTGTTAAGCAGGTAAGAATCCCTGGAAACATCACAGACCCGACTATGATGAAATTCAACATTTGTGCACTATTTAATTAAGATTTGGGTAGCTGGTTCCTTTAGTGTTCCTCACTCTTCCCCACCCCTCCAGCTTTTCTAAAGCTGAGCTACTTTCAGTATAACCACTGAGAAAAAAATCAGAAGAACCACAATATAATGTCTGAGTTTAGGCCACTTACATTTACCTAAGAATGTTAGCCTGAAGTGTCTAAACTTGTGGATGTTAACTCCTAGAAGTGAGCTAAAAATAAACCATCTCAAAGCTGCTGCATTTTACTGCCAATAGGAGGCCCACTCTCCCCTATGGCTAGCTGTCTTTAGCTATCTAAGCAGACATTTATTTCAAGGACTTCCAGGTTTCTAGGCAACAGTTATAGCTGAGATTTATGCAAAACAGTGATGTATAGTTTGGTGGTGGTGTGTGTGACAGAAAATATTATCAAGGCAGAGTGGCATAAGCAATAGGGATAGAAAAGTGTCCTAGAATAGCCCGTTTCAATTTTCCTGTGCAATGTGCCTAGAGCACTGACAGAAGGCAGAGCTAGACTGTTAGACAACAGATTTTCCTGGTGGCATTTTGGCGATTAAATCAGGGATTTAGATTCAGGTAGTTTTGGGGAACACAAACCAAAGTGATTCTTTATGCCTTCACTGCTTACTAATGATGATACTTGAGCCACGGATACTTAAAGTTAGTTGACTTTCTGGAAAATTAAAGCTAGTAAAATCCATTACTATATATGATTATCTTCAGATTATAAAAAGATGATGGATCTGGGAAGTGGTGGCACAGGCCTTAAAACCCAGCATTTGGGGGGCAGAGGCAGGTGGATGGAAGCTAGCCTGGTCTATAAAGGGGTCTACAAACAGCCAGGACTGTTACATAGAAAAATCATGTTTGGAAGGAAGGGAGGGAGGGAGGGAGGGAAAGACAATAACAACAAAAATAAAAAAACAAAAAAAGAGAAAAAAATAAAAAGAGGGATAATGGAAAATGTGTCTTAATATCTATATGTAACCTTCAGAAAATCTGTTATTTCGGCCAGTGACCAAGGAAAAGTATGAATTTTGGTCACACTGATAAGTCTGGTGTTAATAAACAAAGATTGCTGGAGGATTCAGTGTCAAACAGCTGATATTAGTTTGTTCATTAACCAAAACATTTCCGAAAGAGGGTGGCCATGAGTGTGACACAAGTAGACTCCTCAAATCTACCTTCATACGTAAACCTGGCAGAAGGACAGTGAGACTTACCCAGTTCTCCAAGCACTGTCCCTCAATCCCAAGGGAAGTATCAATGAAAGAAGTTTGAAAAGACAGAGAGCACAGCACTCTCCTCTGGTTACCCAGGGAATCAGTTGCTGTCCAAGCCTTCTGCTCAGTACACGTTTCTCAGCATGTTGGGAAGTTTTGATGTCATAGTAAAATCTCAGAGAAGTGGTTCTCAGTCTGGTTGCCACGTGGGAATCATTAGGAATTTTAAAGGGACAGATTCTTTGGGGCCATTCCAGAACTATTGGATCAGAGTCTTCAGAGTGCAGGTTGGCTGTCTGTGGCTTTAAGAGCTCCTCAGGGAATTCTGGTTGATAGTTACTAGGTTACAAGGCTACGCTCACCATTGCTAGGCCTTGTTCTGGGATAAATAGATATTTTTAGAAGGGTTCTTCAAGTTCACAGAAGGACCTGAAGAATAATCTTTTTGATTTGTCCCCAAAGACTACCTGTTGCCACAATAAGTCCTATCTTTTAACGTGCCCTTTTTCTTTATGCGGAGCCAAATACAGAATTCTGTAAGTGAAAGGACAAACTCAGCACACTTTCAAAAATCAAAATTTGAGTTTATTTTTGATATGCTGAATCTAATCTACTAGGCCCTGGGCTAAACATATACATGTAACAAATTATTTAATCACTTCCATAGTTGTATAAGGGATTATCATCATTTTTATATATTTTTATTGATATTTATTGAGCTCTACATTTTTCTCTGCTCCCCTTCCTGCCTCTCCCCTCCCCACTTCAACCCTCCCCCAAGGTCCCCATGCTCCCAGTTTACTCAGGAGATCTTGTCTTTTTATATTTTCTAATTCCCATGTAGATTATATTTATGTATCTCTTTTTTTCTTTATTATTATTTATTTATTAAAGATTTCTGTCTCTTCCCCGCCACCGTATGTAAGTATCTCTTAGTGTCTGCATTGTTGTCTAAGTTCCCTGGGATTGTGGTTTGTAGGCTGGCTTTCTTTGCTTTATGTTTAAAAACCACCTATGATTAAAAGCATGCATTACTCTTCCAAAAGACCCTAATTCAACGCCATCACCCTCATCCAACAGCCCACAACTGCCTGTAATGCCAGCTCCAGAAGGACCTCACTCCTGCATTCACTAGTGCACACACACACACACACACACACACACACACACAAATCTTTAAAATGAATCAAAAAATGCTGAATTTATTTGTAAAAGTTTTGCTGGTAAGGCCTTGAACTGTGCTTAAAGAGTTCTTACCTGAGATTAATTTCCTTTCAGAGTCACTGTTTCCAATAAAAATATTCACTTCCTGAAAAAAAAAACCCACCTATGAGTGAGTACATGTGATAATTGTCTTTCTGTGTCTGGGTTACCTCACTCAAAATAATGTTTTCTAGTTCCATCCATTTTCCTGCAAATTCAAGCTGTTTTTCAGGCTTAGGGCTGTCGAGCAAAACTCTGCAGTTTGACTAGGATTTGGTTCAGAATAGGAAAAGCATATACAAGTGAAGACAGAGACAAACATAGCACACTCTCAGAAGACAGAAACCATGGTACCCATTTGATTAGGCAGTCTATATTAGAGGTGGCAGAAAACAAGATTGGTTTGGCATAGAGAATCTTTAACTAATTTGTTTGGACAAGGACAAAAATATAAGCGAGAAAGAGACAACAGAAAGATACTGACCCTGTGGAGGCTGTGGCTGGGCTGCTTAGCTGCCTCAGACAGCCTGCTATTTATCCTTCCCTGTCAAGATAAAAGACCAATAGAGCCCAAAGACTTCTTCAGTAGAACCTGGGCTTCCTTAATAACATCAGGTGGTTTAAATCTTCAGGGCCCTCATCGTGTTACTCCAGGCTCATAGCATTTGAGGCCCCTCTAAATAAACGAAGACAGTCTCTTTTCTAAAAAAGCAAAGCCTCCCTCAGAGATGTTTAAAATTTCATATCTTAAGCATTTGATAGTTTCTTCAAAACAAAACCTTTTCTCAGGAGCAAGCATGCTAAGTTCTTTGGATGATAAACGTTGATCATTCCTGACTCCTTTCCCCGACCCCCACCCAGAATTTCGGGCACACATGAAAGCGCTGGGTATGGAACTAAATGGGATGATTAAAGAGGCAGAGAAAAGGCTGCAGGAAGGAAACAGGTGCAGGATACCTGACCTCGAACTTCCCAGAATCTTTTACTCTTTAGCATGAAAGAAACTTGAAATAAGTTGAGAGCTTCTTTAGGTAGAGAGGTTTGAGGGTTGGTTGGGATGTAAAAATTATCTCAGTGCTGAAATTTATCCAAACAGCTAAGATTCAAGAATCATTGTTAATTTGCTCTTGCTAATTAATCTGGTTTCTCATTGTGGGGCTTATTTTTTTAATCTAACTTGATAAAAAGATTAAATTGTCTTAATAATTCAATACATTTTTAGTGTTATATCTGAGACGGGTTCTGAAGGGCTCTAGCAGGCCTGCCATAAGGGCAAACATGGTACTGGCAGGCCTTGCCTTTTACCTTGCCCTCTCCTTATAAACCATAATTACACCCTAAAGCTAGCCATCAAGGTCTATTCCCTTATTTGGATACTTTGTGTGTGTGTGTGTTTGATACAGGGTTTCACTGTGTACCCTAACTGTCCTGGAACTCACAGAGATCCACCTGTGTTTGCTTCCTGAGTGCTACCACCACCTGGCTAAGATTTTGCATATTTAGTATGCTTCTTTTAAAACATTTTATTTTTTGTATAATCTAGCAAGTTTCTAAGGTGCTCCTGCTGAATCACACTTCCAGAATCACTGAACTAGATATTACAAAGGGTATCAATATTAGGGATCATACCTATCATTAGGGAGGAGCATCTGATGTGGGTGGGAGAGAGAAGGCATATGCTTAAAAATCTAACAAGGAAGCTAGGTCTGATGGTACATAACTGTAATCTCGGCACTCTGGAGGTGCAGGCAGGCAGATCAGAGGTTGAAGGTCATTCTCAACTACACAAGGAAATAGATTGAGTATAGCCTGGAGTTCACAAGACTCTCAACCCTCCCAATCATGTATATAAATAGATTTATGCATAAAATAGAGTAGAATAGAACACAAAATTGAATGGAATAGGTAGAGATGGGATCTGACCCAGGTCCTAAAGGATGCTGGGCCCTAAGGGTCAGTAGAAAAGAAAAGGCATTCTTTTTTTGTTTTGTTTTGTTTTGTTTTGTTTTTGGTTTTTCGAGACAGGGCTTCTCTGTGGCTTTGGAGCCTGTCCTGGAACTAGCTCTGTAGACCAGGCTGGTCTCGAATTCACAGAGATCCGCCTGCCTCTGCCTCCCTAGTGCTGGGATTAAAGGCGTGTGCCACCATCGCCCGGCAAGAAGAGGCATTCTTGATGGGGATATAAAAGGGAAAGTGTAGAGGTGCATGGGGCTGGCGATAAATATCTGGCTGGGTCACTTGGGAAGGGGTAAAGTCAAAGGCGCTGCTTTGTGAGGAGACTTGAATGCCTGTTCCTTTCTGCAGCCTCCGCCCACTGCTTACCAAAGTGCTGCACAACCAGAAAGAGGAAGTCGGCTCTGCTGAGGGTGCAGGAGGAAGCACAAGAGGCTGTGAAGGCCTGTGAGCCTCATGACCGCTATTCCCCATGAACCAATTGCAGAGGCACCCGGAAGCCCGTTACACCAACTAGGCTGGGTCCTTCCACAAAAAGGGCGGTGTCATCCAGGCTGAGACTATTTGGGGCGATTGTGTCTTCCATCTGGATGTTCCTCTTTCTCGGTGGCCATCATGTCTTTGGCCTCTGCCTACCAGCATAAATTAGCAGAGAAGCTCACTATCCTGAATGATCGAGGTCAGGGGGTTCTCATCCGTATGTACAACATCAAGAAGGTAAGCACGGGTCATTTTATTGAATCAGGGCAGGAGCCTGGAGGCCTGCAGGCCCAATAGTCAATCCTGTTTCTCCCCCACTGCTTTAAGTGGCTCTCAGCCACTCAGACAGTATAGGTCCCTCAGTCTGGGGAGACAGAGGGAGGCTTCTTTTTAAGGCTAGCCCTTTCTAGGTATGGCTTCTTCCTGTTCAGCATCATCTTCCCCTAAAGACTGAGGGAGGGGTGGGGATGGGGGTGAGAGCATGTTCTGAATGACTTGGATAAGGTCTCGGATTTAGAGTTTTGGGTCTATTTATTGCTAATTCTTCTACTTTTTGAGTTTTCAAGTTGGGTTTCTGTTTTTGTGGAATCATTCCTCTAAATGGATGTTTTTAAAGGAGGTGGGTGTCTTCTAAGATACTTTATGGCTATACATGCTGTGTGGGTGCATGTGTGTGTCTGTGTTTAGGGCAGAAACTATGAAACTGGGCAAAACAGACATTGAGAAGTGAGCCGGGGGCTGGGCAAGCTGTAGGAAGTAGAGATATAGGTATAGATAATTTTGAGACTCTCTTGGGAAAGAGAAGAAGGGCCTTATGTGAAGGGACATTTGTGCCCTTGTAGTGACACACCAGGAATACGGTTTCTATGTCCTCGTGTCATCTATAAAAGCCTCTTGGGCCGAGCCCCTCACATATTGAAGGGAACTGTGACACTGAGCTTTATATAAAGTCCAACTTTTGAGCAGGCACTTTTTTTTTTGATACTTCCGGCTTCAGTGCAGGGGTGGGGAAGCAGCTTCCTCTCTAGGTTAGAACCAAGCCTCTGTTAAGACAAGATGACAAGTTCTTTGGGGTGCTGGTTTGGTGTCTGGAACTTGGTTCTAACCTACGCTCATGCTTTTATAGTGAATTCCCAGACAGCCATCCCCAAGAAAGACAGTAGGAATGAACGATTCAGATAGAGGTTTGTATCTAAGTGGAAATACAGTATGGTGGTTATATTTTGTTTTTGTCTGTGCAGACCTGTTCAGATCCAAAATCTAAACCACCTTTCTTACTGGAAAAGTCCATGGAATCAAGTCTCAAGTACATCAACAAAAAATTTCCCAGCATAGATGTCCGAAACAGCACGGTGAGAACTTGGGCCCATTTTCCCCCTTTCTGTGGCATTTTTCTTGCATGGCTCACATTCTCCACTTTTGGCTGCTTGCGTTCAAGTGTTGCCATCTCTTTGTTTTCCTCGGCTCATATACAGGGCTTCAGGTATTGAGGATTGTGAGCTCAGATGGGAGTCTCCCATGGGCACAGCCTTGTGAGCCAGGTTCATGAGGACACTGGTGCTTACGGAGAGGCAGCTCCATTAGCCTCACAGGGTACATCTTTTACTGTAGTTCTTGATACTCAAGCCTGTTTCTTTACTGCTGGATGCTATGCATCCAGTGGCAGATCCTATACTTCTCCCTGTCTTAGCCCTAGCTTTTTTACAACCTATGCAAAGTATTTTTATAATCTGTTTTCTTATCCTATTGATTTATATAGCAAACCTCTTCAGCTGAAAGGGAACTGGGATTCTTCTTTCAGCTAGCCTTCTGCTCTAGTCAGAATCACATGTGGCCATCAGTTGAGATGGAGAGTTTCTGTGGAGTGGAGATCACGGGCAAGCTTCTGATTCCTCCCCAGCAAGTGTTGTTTTTTAAGAATGATTGGGGAGCTGGGTGGTGCTGGCACACACCTTTTTTTTTTGTTGGTCCTGTCCCCCTTTTTTTTATTTATTTATTAAAGATTTCTGCCTCCTCCCCGCTACCGCCTCCCATTTCCCTCCCCCTCTCCCAACCAACTCCCCCTCCCTCATCAGCCTGAAGATCAGTCAGGGTTCCCTGCCCTGTGGGAAGTCCAAGGACCTCCCACCTCCGTCCAGGTCTAGTAAGGTGAGCATCCAAACTGCCTAGGCTCCCACAAAGCCAGTACGTGCAGTAGGATCAAAACCCATTGCCATTGTTCTTGAGTTCTCAGTAGTCCTCTTTGTCCGCTATGTTCAGCTAGTCCGGTTTTATCCCAGGCTTTTTCAGACCCAGGCCAGCTGGCCTTGGTGAGTTCCTGATAGAACATCCCCATTGTCTCAGTGTGTGGGTGCACCCCTCGCGGTCCTGAGTTCCTTGCTCGTGCTCTCTCTCCTTCTGCTCCTGATTTGGACCTTGAGATTTCAGTCTGGTGCTCCAATGTGGGACTCTGTCTCTGTCTCCTTTTCATTGGTGCACACCTTTAATCCCAGCTCTTGGGATGCAGAGGCAGGCAGATCTCTGTGAGTTTGAGGCCAGCCTGGTCTACAGAGCTAGTTCCAGGGCAGCTGGGACTGTTTCACAAGAAACCCTGACTCGAAAAGCAAGACGAAATAAAAAATCAACCATACAAAAAAAGAATGAGTAGTACTCCTAATTATAGTTACTT